TCGCCCGCCGCGGCTCCTGGTGATTACGTGAGTGAGCAGATTGGCTTCTCTGTATATATTCCTGACATCCCGCTAAGCAAGTGTCACATTTGTCATGCATTGTACAGTAAATTGTCACATGTAAAAGGCAGCAGTTTATTCCCTCAAAGCGATGCCTATGTTAGTCCGCCAACCGGCATATCCAAGCAAAAGTATGTCATCAACTGATTAAAACAGCGTTGGCCATATCCAGCATTTTATTCGCTGCTATTTGTTAATCAAAATAAATGCGAGCAAGCTACCTGTGGTGCGGTATAATTACGTAGACTTGACCTAATTGTTTCTGTCACGTGCAATACGCCCGCCACACAGACCAATTATCTGCTACTGATGGGAAACAGGCACAGAAATTGTTTGTTGGGGAAGTTCGGCATGCATCGCCTTTTATGTAAATTGCATCATGTAACGACATTGTCGGGCCTCGGCATGTAACATCACATTCGTTTGTTGTCAATATCAGGCATGATTTGTTCCTAACTAATGTGCCATTTGATGCTTATCTATAAGGTATTCACACATTATTGCCAGATACTTCTTTTGGATAAAGTTTGTGTCCTTTTCCACTCGGTTATTATACGCACATTGTGCAAGAATACAGTGACTCATTGTATACTCATTGCGCAGACAGTGACTTTGGGTTACATAGGGGAAAGTGACCTAATAACGCACTGCTCCTTTTTACGCACGAGGGCACGGAACTCATGCATTAGCGTGATCATGCGTGACTATCAATATGATTTGAAAACAGCACGCCTTCAGAGTATGAAAAATAATCATCACTCGTTTACGGTACTTGTGAGCCGTTCTCCTGCACTCACCAACCCCTCATTTCGCAGAGCAACTGACGTCTGGCGGCCTGGTTCGGCTGCCACCCACCCCCACCCTCGTGCCACCCTCGCCCACGTGCAAGCTGGAGCCGTGCGCCACGTGCAGGAGCGAACGGGATGCGGAAAACACGTGGCGAGAGAAGGCAATCAACGGAGATGCCCTCTTCAGAGAACGCAGCTGGAGCTTCAATCTGTTTGACAACGCGCATCAGGTGCGGAGTTAATGAAAAAAGTTGTATTATTGACTAACGTTTTTGCTGTGCTTCTCTGTGAATGTCAACCATATTTATATTCACAAAGGACTGGGAATACCTTCTCGGTCTGTATAAAGAACAACACATATTGACTATGATAAAAGCCTGAAGTAAAATGCTTATGTAACGTCTTTCATCTTTGATGCAGCAAGTTGTAAGATTAAAAAAAAAAAACATTCAGAGCGACTGTGTTTTTATGAACTTTGTTTTGTTATGGCCATTGGAAGGCTCTTTCTTACTCTTCCAAGGATGACGAGCCACATTTATTTTTAATTCTTTCTGACCCCTCCAGTTATTTCGGTAATCTCCACCATTATCCCTCCCCTCAGGTATACAAGACCAGCGCCACCAAGCAGGGTCTGATCGCCAAGCTGACCAAGAAGGGTCGGGGTCGGTCCTGTGGTGTGGCCGAGGTGCGGGGCTCAGACAGCTGCTCGCTGCGGGCACTCCTGTCACCGTCTGACGAATCCGCCTGGCTGGGAGGGGCCACCAACAACAGTCGCATCTGTGAAGATGACGTCATTGAGGTATGGAACTGGAATCATAATATGGTGATGGAAGTGATGGTGGGATGGTGCATTGACTTGGGACCTGGCAGGGGATGATGATGGACTCAAGGTGTTTATCCACTTGCAGGGGATGTTTGAATGAATGAATGAAATGTTGGACGAATGGATGAAAGGATGAATGGAAGAACGGAAGAATGAAATGTTGCTGGTGTGAATAAGTGAGTGAGTGAGTGAGTGAGTGAATGAATGAGTGGGCGCGTGAGTGAGATCAGTGAGTGAGTGAGTGAGTGAGTGAGTGAGTGAGTGAGTGAGTGAGTGAGTGAGTGAGTGAGTGAGTGAGTGAGTGAGTGAGTGAGTGAGTGAGTGAGTGAGTGAGTGAGTGAGTGAGTGAGTGTGTGAGTGTGTGAGTGAGTGATTCAGTGAGTCAGTGAGTGGGTGAGTGAGTGAGTGAGTGAGTGAGTGAGTGAGTTGGTGAGTGAGTGAGTGGGTGAGTGAGTGAGTGAGTGAGTGAGTGAGTGAGTGAGTGAGTGAGTGAGTGATTGAGTGAGTGAGTGAGTGAGTGAGTGAGTGAGTGAGTGAATGAGTGAGTGAGTGAGTGAGTGAGTGAGTGAATGAGTCAGTGAGTGAGTGGGTGAGTGAGTAAATGATCATTGCTGCTGACCTGACCCTCCCCGTCCCTCCCGTCAGATGCACGAGCACCAGTCCTCTCTACCACTGCAGCCGAGCCAGAGGGCGCCGGCGGCGGCCCGACCGACGCCCCAGCTGCGGGAATCTGTCCTCACCGTGTCGGAGCGAGCTGGAGCGTCCTGTCGCTCCGGACCCTGCGTGTCACTCATCAAAGCAGACGCCGCGTGAGGGGCGCCGGGCGCGACGTGACGGGCGCCTGTGAGAGTCTCTTCGAGATGTCTAGATGGATCTATCACAGCTGATGACTGATGAGTGATGGAGATGATGTGGTCTTGAAGTGAGGCCATCTGAGACGCCACGAACCATCCCTGGGCTGCGTTCTTTGTAAAAAGATCGAAGAACGATAGAGCGCAACAACGTGAGGGGTGTTCTGAAGGGACTCAAAGCGCCCTCTTGCAGTCGAGAGTCCTGGGGTAGTGAACGGCGACGGAATCCGAGAGGGCGCTGCGGTAAAATGAGAGACGACGCTGAAACTGAGCCAGAACTGTCGCTGGAGCAGAAAGTCGATGGAAACGCTGCAGGGGGTCCACACCGTTCTGTGCTTCTATCCTCAGGATACTGAAATCCTTCTCCTCCACGCCGCAACCCCACTCCGGGCTGGACAGGCAACTTTATCTCATGCGGGCTGCTCCCTTGGAGCGGCACCGCTGCTCCCGAGGGAGCGCACCCCGTAGCCGGGTGCAGTGAGTGCCTTGGGGCTGGGTGGCCTGTCCTCTGGACGGGCTCAGCCCCGGCGACTCACTAGGGTGCCTGCCCAGACCAATGTCTCCCCCTAATTCCTATCATCCTTCTGGCTCTGCAATGGTCTTGTCGACCGAAAGGGCCTAACCCAACAAAACAAAAAAAAAACAGGGGGGTCCGAGACGCCACTATGACGATGCTAAATGTTTCTCGTCTGTTCAAAGGAGGTATTGGTGAAGAGGGTAGTTCTCCGTGGAGGACGTAGTGAGGTACCTGAAGGAGGCTAGGCACAGCGCAGGACTCAGATGGATCGAAACATATTATATGTTCTATGTATTTTTAGAGTATGCCGCACAAGCTCGATAGCCGCATATTATTCGTTCAAAGAGGTGCGACATTTGAAAGGTATTGTATACGTGGGAATCGTTCCTTCCTGTTCGCGTGTGTGTTGCTGTTGATTTCATGTAAAGGTAATGTTTGACAGTCTAGGAATAGTTGTCAAGAATCTACGGTGTGATCATAGATGGGTAGGTACTTACTACAGTAAAGCATGAACATGTGCTAGTCAAGAGATTTATATGATCTCATTTCAGGTGACCTTGAACATGAACTGTATCTTGTGTGGGATGTGATTATAGACGTATGGTAGTGCGAAACGAGATTAATAGTGTACTGGTGATTTAATGCTTGTGCCGTATGGCACACTCGTCTTCGTTCGGTGCTTTATAGTGTAACTGGTATCGCCATTTTTAACCAGAAACCAAAGCTTTATTGTGATACGCGTTTTTGCAACTATTTATTGAAACAGTCTTTCTTGAGTTATGTAGTTTGTTTTATATTTTTTGTTTGAAAGGGTTTCGTAGTTTTCCTAGATCAGTGTCTAAAAAAGATGTCCCTCTTGTCCATGGAGACTTACTTCAGTACTAAAAGTTTCGAATATTACAGATTGTGTGTTCTGTGTATGAATTATCGGTGTTCATAAATGTTTGGTGTGTACCTATATTGTGTAACCAATTATGGGCATTACCGGTGTCTCGCGTGTAATTCGTTGTGATGTGATCAGCGACTGATGCTCATTGGGTGCTTTAGATGAACAATTATCACCTGGTGTGACTGGTGTATGCGATGGTGCTGGAAATTTAATTAGAGTTTTGTTTTGTCTGCTGTTTAAATGAAATGGTGTGATTGATAAACAGATGTTGAATTCGGTAGCGTGCTGATGGGTATATATTTGTGACTTGTTACCTGGGAATGCGCCAATCATAGGTATGTGATGGGCAAAGGCAGAATTGTCAAATATTTGCACATCATTTCATTACTTTTCTGACGAAAATACCAAGCATGTCTTTTTGAACAAGTACAACTTACATGAGAAGAATCAATATTTTACGAATATGTTGGCGATGCGTTTTAAATCTATATCTAATGAGCCTGTGAACGGGTTGTCATGCTGTGTTTTATGTTGCTGAACATGACGAGGACGTGGAACTGGACTATTGACGTGGAACTGAGCTCATTCAGCTCCCTGCTGTGCTGCTTTGTGTGACGTGGGATGATGATAGAATACACGACAGCTGTGTTGAAAATGGTACTCAGTTTCCTACTACTAGGTCATACGTGTACAATTTCGATCATGTTTGATGTTTATAAGCAATCGATGATAAACCAAGCAGAAATATGCATTTTTAATTTCACTTCCTTGGCATAAATTTCATGACCTCAAATAACGTCATTGTTTAATCAGTATTCACGTTTGATTTATCAAAACGTTCACATGATTCCCGTATCTTGCCTTTCCTGAATAAGCCACGCGCAGATAATATATCCCTCAGCCGTCTCGCCTCGGCGCGTGATAGCCACGAGGGGGGCGGCGTCAAAGGCGACACGGAGGAAATTGTACGGAAATTACCGCTGCTGCCCGGAGTCCGGGGTCCGGGGTCCGGGCGGTCGTGCCATGAGGCCAGTCGTCCGGAACACACCCCATGCCTTGACAGCTCCGAATCTGCGGGAGGCGTTTAGTGTCGTCGTGCCTCACATATTATCTGGATGGCAAAGTTGATGCAGTGGTGTCATGACAGCATAGGGAGAAGCGTTTATGTCACACGGAAATAAAGCTGTCTCTCAGCATTCCCATTCCTCGATGTATGATCAAAAGCAATGCACTTTCTCCGGGATCTGTCATGGAGTGTCAAACATCAACGTTGCCTTTCGCGAATCGCGCGTCTGCTTGGTGTTTGCAGGATGCAGATCACTGTATGGGTCACGCCACAATGAACAGGATTGTAACTTATGACCTTTCTGTTCATGACTAAGCCTTGCCCAAAGGTTTCAAGCATATGGCTGAGATCATACCAGTACGAAACTCGTGAAGACAGCGGCCAGCATCCATAGATATACCATACATTACCATAAAAGGCTACCCTCCAGCGTCCATTGTCCACCGTCTATCGGCCACGGTCCATCGTCTATTTCCTGCTATTGTCAAGAACATTGAGCACGACCACGATGGTCATGTTTACATTGTCAACTGTTCACTTACAGCGCAACAGGTAGGCTCAGATCGATGGCTTTCGGCAGATCGATGACTCAAGCAGATCACCAGCCCAGTGATTTTGACATCTCGACGACTGGCAGCTCAGCAGCTCGGGTACTGCAGCGGCCGGCAGCTATAGCAGCTCAGCAGCTCATCGAGCTACGCTGCCGCTCAGGTCGGCCAGCTGCGGCAGCTCGAGCGTGCAGCTCTTGGCAGCTGCAGCAGCTCGACCGTGCCGCTCTCGGCAGCTGCAGCAGCCCGCAGTCGGTGCTGACAGGCTGTTCGTCTTCCTGCGACGTGTGGGCGCTCAGAGCTAATGGTTTGTGTTGTTTTTCCGATCGGCTCCGTCTGTGCCGCCTGCCCGCCTGTATAATACGATAGGACGTAACCTAGTGGGTGCTGAAGTGTTTGCCGGTGCTTTGGTGCGGCATCAGAATAGCTTCCGCTTGGTTGTCTTAGGATTACATCACTTTGTAACAGAACGGCCCCATTTATAAAATTGTACTTTAGACGAGACTTTTTAACCGACCACCTCTTGGGGGGGGGGGGATATAATAAGCTCGGGAAGTCAGACTGTCAAATATATTGATCAGTAACTACGAATTCTGCGAAAGTAACAACGTTTCGTCATTAGTGTGGCTTTCCGAGAAGTGAAAAGAAAGTGGAATTGGTTTCTAGAAAGATTGTAATTATTTCTTTGGTGCCCAAACGCTTAACTAATTGACATTTTGCTTTTTCTGCATTTGGTTTGTACATATCTCTACTCCAACCTAGGTTTGTTATTTACATATATAAAAATCAAATTTGATTTTTAAATGGCATGTACAGTATGGTGCCATATTGTAGATTTATATCGGCAGTCTGGACACTGGTGAACCCAAGGGGAAATCTTTTTAATTGGAAGAATTCTTTGGGGAGTACATATGCCCCTCCCTGCAGCTCCCAAAGCTTAGCCGCAAATAAAACAGTAAAACAAAGCCATGTCCACAGAAAAACTGCCGACTGGCTACCAAACACCGGAGCCGAATCACCAACAAGTATCGCTATCTCCTCTCTCTCTCCACTATTGGTAGTGTCTGTGAGGGCCAATCTAGGTTTCTGCTGGTACTTGTCGACAGCCGATCCATCTCCCGGATAGCCGGCCGGTGGCGGCGGTGGGGCGGACGGAGTAAAGGGAGGGGGCTGGCAGAGGAGCGCAGACGAAGGCACGGCCGATCACTTACAAACACGGGAAGTCTGTGTGGAGGTGGGGCCTGTGCGGAGATGAAGTCTGTCTGAATGTGGGTTCTGCATCACTGGGTTTTGCTGGTGGAGAGAGGGGACGGTTACGGGTAAACGCTTTTAGTCACTTTGTTGTAAACCAGGAAAGCAGACGGAGCATAAAAATAGCTGCAAATAGGGGACCAATTCTCAAAACTACTACCAGGTAGGTTCAATTCAGATAGATTTGCTGATGATACCAAAAAAGGAGAAAAATTCCATCAACAATTTTAGAGGATCGTCAAGCGGCAGACTCATAGTACCACTTGTGCCCATCGCTCGCCTTGTTAGCGTGTATTGTGCAGGGGCACGTAATTTTTAATCTCCGTTAAATTATATTTTTATTTGCTCTATATGCACAGTCCTGTGTATCATTCGGAGCAGTCAATCGCATTTTGAACTGTGGACGGATAAAAGAAAAGAAGACAGTCATTTTCATATTTTTCAAAAGCAGAGCCTCGATCGGTCACGTGCCGTTCAAAGCCCCCTCAAATCACAGTACGACTGATGTAATTCGAACGCGGGAAGGTCCTAAACCAGTCCGTACGGATGACGAGTGGAGGTGAGGAGCTGCGACGAGAGTCGTCCCTGCTGACACAGACCCCGAAGAGTGGTGGAACGTGTTCGAGAGGTGCACTCCAACGTCACAGGGGAGGCGGCGGGCAGAATCGGCGGATAATCCACGGAGGGTCACTCCAACGTGCAGAACCGCCCGGGAAAATCGGGATCCAGACAGGCAGGCAGAGAGTGAGAGAGAGAGAGAGAGAGAGAGAGAGAGAGAGAGAGAGAGAGAGAGAGAGAGAGAGAGAGAGAGAGAGAGAGAGAGAGAGAGAGAGAGAGAGAGAGGGAGGGAGAGAGAGAGGGAGAGAAAAAAAAGACTCCAGTGCTAGCAGACTTTCGGAGGTCAGAAAATCCAATGCGAGAATGCATAGCAAATTCTTACCTCTTTTCGCATGGATCGCTCACAGAGAGGCTTGCATTTGAATAGGCTCTCGCAGATAATGTCCTGATTGTCGAAAACGTCTACCCTGTCCATAAAGAGATAAATGCGTTTTGAGGTAGCTCATTGATATTTCATAAATGCAGATTGAGCTGCTAACGCATGTGATCAATGCATCTATTCACATGACAGACAGGCAGACAGGCGAACCGTTATTCGGAACCTCCATACAATGGGTTTTGTGGTTTCCACAGGTGATATAAAAAAACCTAAAATATCAAGTTAAAACCATGTAGTAAAGATACAGGCGCATTAAAATGCATTCCATTACTTGCTATCGCGAAATAGGAAGGCGGGCAAACTCTGTCCTTACACAAGGCAAAGTCACATCCACATCCACATCCACATCCACTGACACTGTCCTATGGTAACTGTTTGCATGCACATTATATCAATTCCACTTGGTGAGCGGAGTTTATCATAACGCCCAAATCCAATCTCACTCAGTGCTTCATTCCATCACTCTGATCCACCCTGCCCGTGACAAACTGTCTCAGTTGCGCCACGGCACGCCGTTCGGCCGCTGCGTTAGACGCGCCTCCTTCGCACCAGGCGGAGCGAAAGGTAATCCCGGTCGGGGCGTTCGCTCGCGTCGCGGCGCCGTAGGGCCAGCCGTTTAGCAATCGATCTCGACATTTAATCAGCGGTGCCCCCCGGTGTTGAGGCGTTCGGGCCCGACGTACTGGAAGGACGGGACGGGTTAGGAAGGACTGGAGCAGATCCCAGACCCCCGGGAAGGACTGGGACAGGCCACTGCGCGAGCCAGCCGGGTTCTGCCCGAGTTGCGCGATCTGTTTGGCGGAGAGTCATTAGATTGTCCGAGATCAAATTAAGTGCTGTCACGTCATACTGCTTGGAATCTGCTGTTTGGTGTTGTTGGGAACAAGCTCTTTCGGCTTGGAAAGGCCATTGCAGAGCTATGGGATGACAGGATAGAGTGCAGACATTGCACTATGCGGACAACCGACGTTTCGCCGCAGCGGCAGAGACTGTCCCGGTGGGACGGAAATGTCCCGATGGAACAACCCACCCTGGCGCTCAAACGGTAGCTCCAGAGAGGGTGCAACATGGACTTGCCCTTATCACCGCGCCGGTTGTCTGGTTGGGGGGAGGGGGTTACCACCAGCCCTGAGAAGGAAACGTGAGGGGTATACGAATGGGCCTGTCCTGAGGATGGAGAGGATGGATGGGTCAGCTGTAATGCTGCCTGAGGCTGTCCAAAGTTGGACAGCTTGTAGGTTTGTCAGGCTCTCACGGCACGGGGTCTAATGAACTCGCAGCTTTGTCAGGGGTTGTTGAGTGCGCCATCCGTCTGAA